AGAGGTTTTGTCTGGCTCTCAATGCCCGCTGCTGTACAGTAGAGGTAACGGTGACATTCGCGCTGTGTAATGATTGACTTGAACCCTGCCTGAGGTAGCGTTGTGTGTTTTAAATGCTGTTGCACAACCGGACAGGATGAAAGAGTTAGGCCGGGTAGAGGATAGAATAGAAAGCTGAATTATCTAATTTTCTCTAAAATATTAGCTTCACATGCGTGACTGGTTTCCACTTGCAAAGCTGTTCATGGTGTATGTCCTTAATTTAGCGGGCAGATGTGTTTTTTTTTTTTTTTTTTTTTTTTTTTTTTTTTTTTTTTTTTTTGAGGGGTGGGTAGGGTGGAGATTACTGGTACAGAGGATGCTGGCAAACACATTAGTCTAAAATGGGCTATAGTGGTGGAAGGCTATGCTTGTTAAAATAATCAAATCACTGAGAATCACTTGGTAATACCTTGCATCCAGGTTGTGTTCCCAACGGCAACTTGCTGTCATTTATAATTTTGCAAGAATTTGAACAGTTCCTAGACATTGGGAATTAAGCAGAAAATCTGTGTGGAGATGGGAGAAGAATATGCTCTTAAACAAACTGAAAATATCCTCATTGTCTAACAAAAGCATAGGAGCAGCTGATGGCACTAGTCTGGAGGGTGCTCTGTTTAGCAGGAGACAGCATTAGGTTTTTGTGATTTCTGAAGAGATAAAACTTGATCAATGCCTTGTGACTAGCAGGCAACATTTCTTCCTTCAGCTGGCATGTGTCTCAGGCTGATGAATTTTGAAAATCATTCTCTACTGAAAACTAGACATCAGAAGCTTACCATATTTTTGTGAGATTTCATTCGTGGTAGCAGTGGGGGGAGTTAATTGCTTCTGTGCATGTGTGCCCTTTGGAAGGCAGTGAGTAGCACACCTATTGCTTTTGGTTTGAGAGGTGTGGTTGTTTGCAGGTGTGACCCCACACCAACCACAGATCTGATCATGGTGACGAGTCTTTTACAGCTTGGTGAAATCCAGCAATCTTCTTCCCTCAGGTGGCCTCTTTGCCATATGTCTTCTGTTGAATTAAACCTGCCAGTCATAATCTCATTTTTTTGTCGGTGCTGTGGAGTGGTAGAAGTGATTTTGTCAGCTTGACTGCTTGACTTTTACTGTTAGGTTTTTTTGTGTATCTAGTTATCTTGATACACTTCAGTAAGTGAGAATCACGTGTTTCTCCATTATTGATTTTTGTTGTGGGCAGTGACACTACTGGACTGTCATGAACAACTCTTGCACAATAACAGTCTCTTCATTGGCAACAGAATTGGCAAGAAAAATGCTTGAAAGTTACAAGTACTTCTGGAGACATACAGTTTTTCATGTCAGGTGTTATTACTCTGTGACTTTAGAATAACATAAATATTTTCCGAGCAGCAGAGGTAACTTGACTGTTGCCTCTTAGGGCAGACTTGGACTAACTTTGTCAGGGTGTAGCTCTCCCCCATATTGTTGATAGTTGCTAGAATGTAAATTGATCTGGGTTCTTAACAAGGATCTTGGTGGAGGCAAGACCACTTCACTTTCTTAATCCACTTCTCAGTGCAGTTGGTAAATGTATGTTTTCCTGTGGATATAGTCTCAGAGCTCTCTAGCAGATCCAAAAACTCCCTCTGTAGTGTAGACCTGGAAACATCCAGAGCAATGCTCTAGATATTTAGAGAAAGAAGAAGAGAGGAGAAACTTCGATCTAAATATCTTTCATTAGGATATGTCCAAAGAATACAGAAGAGAATAAATCCCTATCAGTGTCTTATTGCCATTCTCATCTCTGATTTTTTTTTTGTTTACTTCTGTGCACTGCCTGCTCTCCTGGGGCTTCATTCTTTGAATTTGTTTCCTTCTTTCCATCTCTGTTGCTGTCTCTTCTCTCATTTGTGTGTTAATTTTAATGGAGTTCTAGCCAAATTTTTTTTTCCATTGTTTAGTGCTTAAAACACAAAACCAATTTTTTTTTCTGCCATGTTACACAGGCCTGTTTTGTCTTGTCTTGTAACACTGTGGTTTGGTATTATACCAGCATTTGGAGTTCTTTAATAATAACTCAAAAGTTGCTCCTACTGCTTTTTATTTTAGAAGAAATAAAAACCCCTTGATACTCTACATCAGTGTCAGTCTGTTAACAGATGCCTCATGCATGACCTTAGGATTTTTGGCAGCAAACTGTTGCATTGGCACCAGAGGTCTTTTGAAACCAGAGGCCTTTTGAAACAGTTCAGAGTATTTAAAAATAAAAGTTTTATTCTTCCACATGCATTTTGTGGCTAACTTGGTTAGATTAAAAGGGTGTTCCAACTTTTCCAGATCTGTGTGTGAAACACGACAAAACTTACTGCCTCTGAAACCCTGTAGGATGATTTACCAGTGAGTCTATTGAATAAATTGAAGTATTTCTTCTAAATTTTCATTGTATTTATTAAGGCAATTCTGGAGTTTAAAGAATGAGACTGCTTTAAATGTTTGGATTTAATGCATTATTGATTTATATAATTTTCCATCCTGAAAGGGGAAAAGTGAAGTGGCTCCAGGGAAGCCACTACCTGAAAAAAGATAAAACAGTAGAAAATACATTATTCTCTTATAAGAAAAAATACCTGAAACTGTTGATATGTATACAACTTGCCTGTGTGTGTGAAGGATGACTCTGGCCCTTGGGAGAGGATCACTACAAGATGAGATGACAATTTAGTCTGTGATCTCTGCTTGCTGAGCTGGAGCTGATGTGCACAGTTATGGGGGATGGCCCAAGGGATGTTAGAGTGATCTGGGCTGGCTGCAGATGTGCAGAACAGATCTTCTGAATGTGCTGCTGAATTTTAGTACAGATTTCTCTTGCTTGATTACTCTTCTTGTTTGCTAAGTTGTCTTGGACTTTTGGATAGGTACAAGTAAAGATAAGCTTCCTTAAGGTGTGGTACCTTAAAAGGTGCTTCAGTTACAGAACACCTGTGGTCTAATCTAATTCAAGTCACTCCCATAAATTTCATAAGGAAATGGATATGGTCCCCCCGTGGCCTTATCACTTATGGAAAATGTAGATGAAGGTTTGGACCACAGGCAGTGCATCAGTAGCACTTGGGCAATCCTTGCAATTGCTGCTTCCCCAAAGCAATGAGCAGCCCCTGGGATT